TCAGGGTTTAGGGGTTTAGGGTTTTAGGGGTTAGGCCTGAGCTGGCCACATCTGCCACCGCAACGCTGCGCAGACAAGCCTTTGGACCATGGTTCGGGGCCGTAAGTCTTGTTAGGACTGCAGCGAGTTCTGCAGTGTCTTTCCGGCTTTCTTGCTTAACCAACTTTATGACCAGGATCCTAGCATAATGTAGGAATTTGATTAAGAAACCTTGGGCCTTTATTAGGGCTCCTTATATGAATCCTACTATGTTGGGGTTATAGGCCCAGGGTTTCTTAATCAGGTTCCTACATTAGTGAAGCAAGGTAACCAACAAAGGGAATTTCGAGAGCGAGTTCTGTCTGCTCCTTCCACCAGTGAACCCTAAACCTCAAGCTCAACCCGAAAGCTCAAGCCCATCATCAACAGCACTACCCAGAGACTCCAATACCACTTAATTAAGGAAGATACCTTAAATTATAGTAGGGTCCCTAATATGATTTAAGGTATCTTCCTTAATTAAGGGGTATTGGAGTCTCTGGGTTCTGGGTAGAACCTCAGCCTTAAACCTTAGACTCTGAACCTCTGTCCGAAACCCGTGGGTGGGGGAGGAGTCCCGGAACCGTTGGAGAGAATTTCTGGGTGTAGGGCCCAGGTTGGGGCTTGGAGTTTAGGGCTTAGGGTTCAGTGTCCAGGGTGGGTACTATAAGCCTTTAAGGGATCTATAAGGGTTACTGTGTGTCAGGGTACCATTGGGGGCTTAGGGGTTTGGGTGTTTAGGGTCTACATAGGGTTCAGTGTCCAGTGCTTCCTATGCCCTGCAGCGTATTTCCCGGCCATCCCGGAGACTCCAAAACCCCTTAATCAAGGAATATATATACCTTAAACCATAACAGGAGCCGTAATATGATTTAAGGCATATTCCTCAATTAAGGGGTTTTGGAGGCTCTGGGTTTATGATCAGGCGACCTTGGAGACCCCAAATTCCTGCAAATGAACCATTCCTCATGCCGCAGAGCCCATGCAGCAAGGAAAACAACCGAGAGCCTGAACCTCAAACCTCAACCCTGAACATCGGCATCATGGATGGGTATATAATTTTGTAGGCAGATGCGAGGTGGTAGGTAGCTAACTGATGGATAGATGGGTGGATGGATGCATGGATGGCTGGCTGGCTGGCTGGATGGATAGATGGATGGACACGTAGATAGACAGGAGACGATAGATGTCATGCAGCAGGTTAGGTTCTGCTGGCCAAGACCCTTAGACAAGACCGTTTCAGACACTCATGTGAGCTTGAAAGTGATATGAAGGCTTGAGGTCATGGGTATGAAGACCCGCTCTCGAAATTCCCTTTGTTGGTTACTTCGTTTCCCTATGCTACCGTGCTACGAGAGGTAGGGGTGTTGAGGACTAAGGGGTCGGGATAGGGCTTAGGATCTAACTTGTTTAGTAAGTTTGACTGGCACTGAGTGGCTAGGGCTTTGCATTAAACTGAGCGCACGGCATGCGTCCACAGAGCTTGCTTGGCAGGTTGCTGTGCTTGCCGGCGGCATTGTGGCTTGCAATCAGCATATCGAATCGCAGCAAATATCATGAACATGTTGTTGCAAGATTGCTTGCGATCACCGTCTCAGCAGCATCTAGCTAGACAGCATCATCATTACCGTTCAGCGGCTTTGCAGAGCTGGCCTTTCTTGCTCCGGTCACGTTGCTTCTGGCCTTGTGGCCGCCTCAAGCGAAAGCCAGTTTCTAGAATCAAAAAGCTCCAAGGGTGAGATAATCCTGAATACCCAGACCCCCCTCGGGGAGGATCTAGAAAGTAGATCCCCTAATTTGGGGCCCTATACTACTAAGGGTACTTTATAGGAGCCCCCAATTGAGGGATCTACTTTTTGGATACTCCCGGGGGTCTGGGTAAGAGTCCTTCCTTCATCCTGTCTACCTTAGGCCTCTGGTAGAGCCCAAGCAGAGCTCCTACCACAAAGTTTCCTTGAGTTGAGCACTGAAATTTCGCTTTTAGAATCCCAGAGACTCCCAAACCATGTAATGAAGTGACATCTTCCTGAAGCTCCACAATGTACAGTGTCCCATTCGGTTCATGCCTGAATTTTTGGGGAGCTAGGAGCTTCCGGGACCCTGACAAGAGCAAACATCCTGCTGCCCCTTCCACCATCACTTGGGGTTTAGGGTTTAGGGTTTAGGACCATCGCGGTCGGTTACGGCTTTAAACGGCCAGTCGGCCCCCAGTAGTACACTTTTGCCGTTTACTTTCTTCGATATTGGGGTTTCCGTATTGAAGAAGGGAAACCCAGTATTGAGAAAGGGATGCTGGGGAACTCAGTTCACGATCGGTCCGTGCCTGCTCTCGGCAGTTTGGGTCAAGGAGAGCGCATGGCAAGGATTGTGACACTCAAACCCTAAACTCTGAACCAGCATCTAAACGCTCGACCATACATGAAGTTGGAAATCTTACTCTATCTAGGCCTTTGTAATCCCTAAACCCTGCACCCTAAACCCCAAACCCTCTCTCACGGTTGCCGTGCCCGTCCGGTCCGCTCAGAATGCAAAATGGGAGTTTCCGAAAATAGGGGACCCTAATATAGTACCCTAAATAGTAGGATCCTTATTATAAGGACCCCCAAAATAGGTACCCCTAATTTTCAGAAACTCCCAAATGGTAAGGGCTCTGGCCCGAAAGCCCTTCCAGAGCTTCCACGATGTGCCACGGTTGAAGGTTAAGAAAGGGGTCTTTATACGTACCTATGCTATTCTGTGGGGTTCCTTATTATAGTTATGGTATAGTGTACCTGAAAACCCTATTCTAATTATTAAGGCCCCGATGTTTCGGTTTTAAGGGAGACTTTCGACTATGTGTCGCGCCCACTTCCCTGTAAGGTTAGTGCAAAGGGTGTTCTACGGTTAGTATAACGGATATTGTAGGGTAGTATAGGGGTGTTGCGGGGGTAGTACAACCGTCGAATAAGGGTAGTATGGGGGTATGATACGGGTATTGAAAGGGATAGAAGAGGGGATATTATGTTGCAGGGTGCTGTCTACGGCTTAACAGTTTATAGCTCAGTACATACTTGATTCTAGCTCTCGTTGCGTATATGTTTCTCCAATGTGTTAAATTTCTCCCGCTCGCCAGGACACGGATGAAGCATCATCAGAGTCCGACGAGGAGTCTCCTGCAGAGACCCTAAACCTTTAAGCCCATGAGTCCCAAATTCGTAGGTTCTGCTTCAAACTCCACACCCTAGTATAGAAGCTTAAATAGTCGATTTACCAGTACATTCTTTAGGGGTCCTGACTACTATACTATAAAGGAGCCCGAAACCGTATTCTGACATATTCCAACGATGAAGGCCCCTACCCTAAATCGGACAACCGTAGTCTTGACACGCTGCCTGCATTGCAATCGTGACTGTCCAAGGACTTAGTAACTAGGTTATAGGTAGGCTTAATGACTGGGGTAACGCCATTTAGGATACTTACACCCTAGTTATAACCTATTTACTAAGTCCCCTGGGCCTCTAAGTAAGGTTGCATTTCTTGTGCAAAGCCGACGCCGCTCACAATCCTGAACCATAAGCACCAAACCCCGAACACTAAGCATCCGAAGCAGCTAACTTCGATTTAGGGCTTAGGTTTAGGGTTCACCTCACGCACTTGATTTGTTTCTTGAACAAAGCTGCTCTGAGCCGTATGTATTTCATTTTGCTGTTCCCTGTAGCCTCTACACCTCGTTTGTTGGTAGGTAGACAAGAAACATACTATGATGTAGAAATGTAGAAAGTGTACAACAATATATTCTACTATCTTATAACATGCCTATGATGTACCATCAACAACGACTAGACTATACTTGCTATACTATGCTGCATAGGAATATACTACGATCTACCATCATAAACAATGATGTGCGATGATTATTCAAGGCCCCTACATTCTCGTACCCTTAAACTTCTGCCCTTTTAAAGGAGCCCGAAACATCCCTTCAAAGGAACCCTATCCTAATTCTAACCCTAAACCCTAAACCCTGAACCCCCTAATTCTAACTCAGGCCCCTTTGTTCCATCCCCGGGCTGCTTCTGCCCCCGGGAGCCGAAGCTTCATCTTTACCCAGAGACTCCAATACCCCTTAGTTAAGGAAGATACCTTAAATTATAGTAGGGTCCCTACTAGAATTTAAGGTATCTTCCTTAATTAAGGAATATACCTTAAATTATAGCAGGGTCCCTACTACGATTTAAGGTATCTTCCTTAATTAAGGGGTATTGGAGTCTCTGGGTCTTTAGCTCCCGGCAAGAGCTCGAAGATCGAATCAATCGAATGTAGTGGAGTCCAGGGTTTGGGGGTTTTGGGTTTCAGGGTTTAGGGTCCAGTGTTCAGGATAATTGTTTGTTGCGTAGGCTCCGTTGGCAAGAAAGTGAGGTCAGAGCCCAGAACCAGAAACCCTAAACCCGAAACCCGAAACCCTACACTACCCTAAACCCTAAATCCTAAACCCTAAACCCGAAACCCTAAACCCTAAACCCCCAACCCCGCACAGGACGCAGCCTTGGCTTCGGATCTTCCGTTGTACGTCCGGCATCCGACGAAGGTGACCGTCAGAGTATGTAGGGTTCAGTTGTTTCAAGAGTTTTGAGAGTTTAAGTTTAGGGGTTAGTGGGTTATTAGGATTTTAAGAATTTCAGGGTTTTAAGAGCTTAGGGGTTTGGATTTTTTTAGCGTGGTGTGTAGGTTTGGCATAGGTTTCTGGTGTTGGGCTTTCCGCACTTTTAGGGGTTCAGGACTTATAGGGCTTTTTAGGGTTCGGGGCTTTTGGGTTTAGGTTCACAGGGTTTAGGGTTTAGGGTTTAAGGTTTAGGGTTTAGGGTTTAGGGTTTAGGGACAGGGTTGAAGGCTCCTTGGGTGACGGGCTTTGGGTGCCCGGGCATCGCGTTTGCTACGTCCGACATGCGACCAAGGTCAACATTATTGCCCTTGTTTTGTACTCCGCCCTTGGCATATGCGTGATGTCTTTCAAAGAGGACTGGACTTTCGTGACGTCCTTCTACGTCATCGTCCAAATTATCACCACGGTCGGCTATGGAGACATTGCTCCCACTGAGAGTGGGGAGCTTTTCGTGACATTCTACGTCTTGCTGGGCACAGTGCTCCTGGGAGGGCCCCTTAGCTCCCCATGGTATCAGCACGAATCTGAAGGGCTAGCCTTTCATCTGCTTGGGTCATTGGGGAAGTTGTTAACACATAATCCTTCATGCAAATCTGTTGAAACCTTCTAAGGCAGTTATACGACTCATACAAACGATGCACCGCAATAAACCGAGAGGAGATTTCATACATTAAATTTCAAGATAACTCTTCTACACTAGAGTCCATTTTTATGAAATCCCCTTATACTGAGCTATGTATCGGTTAATTTGTAAGTTCCCTTGTGGCCCAGTACAGAGCCCTAATTGCAAATGATTCCGGGGATTGTTGAAATCGATGCCGGTAAAAATGTCCCCAAACCCCGCAACCCTCCTCAACCCCTAAACCCTAACCTAGACCCTAAACCCAAAGCCCTTTAAACCCCCCCCACCCATCTGAGGCTTTTGGATCGTGTGACGGAGTCTTTACTGGAAGCCTCGGATCAGCGGCTGCAGGAGTCCTTGCAAGGACTTCGGACGAGCATGGTGATTTGGCCCTGTCGATGATTACGCGTAAGGGTTCTTCTAAGAGTTTGGGCGCTTTCAGAAGAGCTTCATACCCATTGAAAAATACCCAGACAAGCGGCTTTTTGGACTTATGAGACATTGTAATGTGCACCCAGTTTAGAGTTCTCTGAGGTTTCCAAGGGGCCTTTCCATTTTTCTGAAACTTGAACCTTTCAAGGACTGTGAGGTTTTTTGCCGCCTGCTAAATATTCCTGAAGCTGAGCGTTTCGCTTCTTTTTTTGGGTATTGAGCAGTCAGGATCCTGTGGGTGGCACCTGTGCTCCGGCGGACGGCATATTTACCTTTAGCAGGTCTGTGTACAGCCTGCTGTGCCTCAGCTCTCCAATACGAAACTGTTGATTTTCTGTGGCTTTACAATGCAGTATCCTTCTGATAGTTTCGTCCTCTGTTTCCCTCGGTATTGGCAAAGTAAGGCGTTGGATACTGGTCTACCTCTTCTTCCTTGCCGCTTGGGTCGCGTATTTTACGATCTTCGAAGGACAGTGACCCGGAAACTAACGCATAATTACAAAAACTCTTCACCTCCCGCTTAAAAAGCGATCTGATCTTCACCACTCGGTCTTGCGGTGTTGTTGGCTCTTAGCTGCATCAGTAGCTTCAACAACCTAAACTGCATTATCGTGGCTTCAACAGGTGCCTGAAGGTGTGAGGGTAATATAGTTTGGGGGCATATTATACTAGAATGTTACAGTAATCAAGAACCAACCGAATAGTATAGGTATTTACTAAGGCTGCTATAGTACTCCAAGCAGAAGGACTGTATCTCCCGAGTTGAGTGGTCTTGCAACATCTTGTCATGGGTCTTTCCCTGGTATCACTGACCAACTAGCAGTTTCGAACCACAAGCCCGTAGACAAGTCCAACGAAACGCTATAACAACCTGGCAGAGCCCCGGCGCACCTAATTTAAAGAATCCCAAACCCTAGAAGATATGGGGCCTTAATATAGTACCCTGAATAGTAGGATCCTGATTCGAAAGACCCCCAAAATCAGGTACCCCCTAACTTTCGACTCCAAACCCTACACCCTGGAGCCCCTGGGGCCCCACCACTGAACCTTATAGCCCCGGAGCCTACGGAGCCCTAGACTCCTAAACAGGAGGCCACTTAAGGGGGTTTTAGCCTATGGGAATTTAGTAGGGATAATAGGGTTCCCATCATAGGGTTCATATGAAGGGATCCCTACCCCAAGAATCTTAAACCCCCCTTTTGGCCTCCCATCCCTTACCAGGATTCAGGGTTAGGGTTTAGGGTTTACCCACAGTCTCTATAGTAGTTCCTTTTTGCGGTTGCCTTATAGGGTTCTAAATTAGAGCCCCACAAAGGGAACTACCAGGGTTGATGACACCCCAGAGGATGCTCCTGTTCCTACGGGGCAACTCGGATTGATGGCTGCGAAGAGGGGCAACGCTGCGCGGCCACTGGAGGCGTTCAACTCAGCGTCCTCAGCGCATCTGGGTGCAGGATTGGGGGTTTAAGGTTTTGGGGTTTGGGGTTTATGGTTTAGGTGCTTATTCGGGAGCTCAGTTCAAGCTTCGAAGTGACGGGGATCTAGAATCTATGGCAAACAGCAACCCTGAAACCCTAAACCCTAAGCCCTAAACCTTGAACCATAAACCCTGAATTCTAAACCTATAAACCCCTAAACCCCCATGAAACCCCTGAACCCTAAGCCCTAAACTGCTAAACCCCAACCCAAAACCCCAAAAAGCCCAGGCATCTTACATGGGTGTCATCACCTTCTCCACCGTGGGCTTTGGCGATTTCAGCCCCAAGTCAAGAAAGGGAAGGCGCTTCTGCCGGATTCAGGGGTTTTGGGGTTTGGGGTTTAGGGTTTAGGGTATACTCTTGTGAACGGGTTTAAGTTAAGTTACCATGTAGGGATATAGCAAGTAATCTGAGATAAATGATGTCTTTTAACAATAGTTCAGCTTCGGGAACGCGTTTAGACGGGGCTTAGGGCTTGTTTATGCTTTAGGACTGTGTGTTTGGGGTTTAGTTAGGTGTTCAAGGCTTAGGGTTTAGTTAGGGGTTCAGGGCAAGTTAGGGCTTCTGCAGAATTTTGGGTCCAGAGCTTTGGGTGTGCGGGCGGGGGGGGGTCTGTTTTGGGGTTGAGCATGACAACTTTGGGGCTTGGGGCTTGGGGCTTTAAGATTCAGGCTAAAGGTTTCGGGCTTTTCTCGATTTTGCTGGCCCCAGTCCAGGATTCCCTGCAACCTACAGGCAGATACGCCGCTACTTCTTCGGAACCTTCAGACTCCAAGAGAAGAATAACCCACAACTTTAAACCCAAAACCCTAAACCCGATTTTGGAGTGTGACCTTGACTAAAAGGTTTTTCGGGGATCTGGGGGAGGATCTTCGGTTCGATCTGGATGATCCTTGGCATCATGGCCTTCGGCAAGGTGGTCACTCATGCAGCTCCGCTGCAATGCTCATGCGTTCTTCGTCTGGGGGCTTAGGGGGTTTAGGGTTTAGGATTTAGGGTTCAGGTGTAGGGTTTAGGAGGTTTAGAGGTTTCAGGCCTTTGAAGTTCTGAGGGTTTAGGGCTTAAAGCTTTCAGGGCTTTGGAGCGCCGGGTTAAGAGTTTCGGGTCCTGAGCTGCTGCTCTTCAGGGAGCCAAATGGGAGTTTCCGAAAATCAGGGGTACCTTATTTGGGGGTCCTTATAATAAGGATCCTACTATTTAGGGTGCTATATTAGGGTCCCCTGTTTTCGGAAACCCCCAAATGCCCCTGTATTCAGGAATGTACTCTACACGTATAGAGGGATCCTTCATTGAGACTCCTGGCGTTTTGTGGTTTCCTGGTTCAATAAAAGTGCATGAACGGGAGCCCAGACAAAAAGGACCCGCGGGACGATCCTAATGTGGGCAACCTCCCTGCAACACACTTTGCAGGGCCAGCCGTGCCCTCCCTTTCCTGGGCTTCTGGTTTTAGAGCGTTTGGTGGTTTCGGGTACAGAGTGCCTGTCGCGTGCCCAAGGTGTCGACGATATTGCATGAGTGGAGGATGAACCACAAGAACAGCACCGCGGCTTCAACCTTAAACCCTAAAGCCCCTAATTCGTGACGGCTTCCTTCAAAGCCTCTGTCGGGATTCCTTCGCCGTGAGCGACAGGGCCTTTGCCTAAGGAATGCACCTCGAATTCTCCAGAGCGCTGTCAAGGTGTACTCCTCAACTGCAGACCCCTAAACCCTAAACCTAAACCCCAAATCCCTAAACTCTAAACCCCTAAAGCCCCAAACCCTAAACCCTAAACCCCTAAATGCCGCAAAAAGGAGTTCAACAAAAAAAACCCTAAATGCCTAAACCCTAAATCCAAATTTTTTCAACCTTAGGGTGCAGGGTGCCGCCAGATCAGGCTCAGTCCACGTCAGCAGCAACTTTTAACAGCCCCAAACGCTGACGCCCAGACCTAAATGAAACTTTCAAGCCTAAGCAGTTGAACCCCCTTATGATAATGCTACACCTTAAACCTAAACCCTAAACCCCAAACTAACCTTCGACCCTGAATCCCTTTAATGTCAGGAGTCCTGGTTTCTCGCAAAGTTTTCGAGAGGATGGACAGCTTCCCGCAGGCAAAAGGAAGGAGGGGTCTGCCGGGAATTCCCAAAAGGGTTACTATAAGGCATACTATCAGGGGGGGTACTACAATAGAGTCCTTATGGCCCTCGCTAGTGGGTATTCGGAGTACATTCGAGGCTAGTTGGCGGGTTCTAGGTGGGTGCGGGGGTTTTCAGTTTCTTATCGGGCGTGGGGATGAGGGTTTTGGGGGGAGTTTTGTTCAAGTCCAGGGGGGGTCTCGGTAACAACCCTCGTTACATCAGCTGGTTACATGGGTGGTTGCCAAAATTATGATCCTGTTTTGGATACCCCTAAATAATAGGTGCCGTATTATAAGGGCCCAAAAGGGGCCATAATTTTGACAACCACCCGCATGTCTGTGTACGCTCATGAACAAAGCCCTTATCAGAAGGAGTCCTCCTGAAGCTCGCAAGCCCCAAACCTTGAGTCGTGAACTCCAGAATCCCTCAGCCCAGCCCCTAAACCCTAAACCCTAAACCCTAAACCCTAAACCCTAAACCCTAAACCCTAAACCCTAAACCCTGAAGCCTAAACCCTGAAGCCTAAACCCTAAACCCTAAACCCTTTGAAGAAGCCCAAGGCGCCAACAAGGCTGTTGCGATGTCGTGTTGTCACGTAGACTAAAGCCCGCCGCATTTGAGGAAACAGATCCCATCCCACACCCCAAAACCCAACGCGGTCCAGAGCTTTAGGCATTGAGGCTAAGGGTGTACAGGTTCAAAGTTAAGTGTTTAGAGCTTGAGGTTTGAAGGATGTAGGTTTAGGTATTTTAGGGTTTAGGGTTTGCAGGCTTGGGGCTAGGGGACTACTGAAAAACCGGACCCCCAATCCTGAACCCCCAACTTAGAAGCCCGAACAGACTCTAACTCCCAAGCCCAGCATCCAAAATGCTCGTAGTTCTCGAAATAAGGGCGGGCCCGTTCTATAAGGGTGCCATACCATTTTGGGGACCTAAACCGGGACCCTCGTTTAGAGAACTACCCATATCCCGGTCAACCGAGGAAATAGATCTGGCAAGGTGGCCCGAGGCGAGTTCGTGCTGCAGCTCAGCTGAACCTGCAGCGTCTTGTAACTTTCACATTATGTCCACAGATCCCAAGAATTAGATGACCCTAAGCACTCTAAACTATGGGAAGTATGGCATATTCCTCAAAATGGGTAATGCAGGATTTTGTCCATCAACAGTATTCGAATCCTTCAGAAGTGCCTGGTACATCTCGTCGACTACGGGTGTTGGGCTCTCTGGGTGTAGCTGCGCATGCAAAGTTCGATCTTGCACCCAGAAGGCAACGAAAGGGCATCCCCACAAGAAGCAGTATATGCTGAACCCTAAACCCTAAACCCAAACCCTAAACCCCAAACCCTGGCCTAAACCCTAAACCCCTAAACCCTATACTCGGAACCCCAAGCCCTACACCCTCGGCACCCTCGCTCGGAAGAGCAATCGCAATCTTTTGGGCTGTCTGTCCTTAATCATAGGGACCCTTAGAAAATGGGGGAGGTGGTCGTTCGATGTCACGGCTGCCCGACCCACCCAGGTATATGCTGGTGAGGCAAGGGCGGGTCAAGCAGGAAACGATCCAAGACATCGAAGCCTTGTTTAAGGAACTGGACCAGATTCTGGGCAGCATGTTAGTTGCTATGCTGGGGGGTTTCTCCTGGGCTTTTGAGGTGTGAGGTTAAACTTAGACTTTCAAGGCCCGAAGGATTCGTACCAGCATCTGCCGGACAGGCAGTCCTTGTGACTGAAGCTCTTCGAGTGTGAGGTGTGGCTTTCTTCAGTTCGGCGAGGGCAGGTCCTTCAAGTCTTCCCGTCCTGCAACTCTGAACCTTCAATTCCCCCCGTTCCTGTACCCTAAATCCTAAGCCTCACATCCGCGTACTGCTCAAACCGTAGATCTTTCAACCCTAGACCCGAAACCTCCTTCAACCCCGTACTTCTCCAAAGGATAAGAACTCGAGACCTCCTTATTAAACCCCGACCTTCTCAAAGGGATAAGAACGGCACCTTGACCTTCGACGAGATCAACGGCCGTCTCCTGCCATCGGAAGGCCGAAGCTGGGATATTGCTTGGTTTCTTTTGGGTTTAGGGTTTGAGGCCTTAGGGATTAGGGTTTAGGGTTTTAGACTTTGGGGATTAGGGTTTAGGGTTTTAGGATTTAGGGATTTGGGTTTAGGGGAACTTTTGTTGATCGGAATTTTAATGTTCTTAGGACTTGCCTGTTTTTCAACTAACAGCTTTTAACACACCAAGGGTGTGTAGGGTTTAGAGTTTGGGGGGTGAAGAAGCTTGCATCCCTGACAAGAACCCAGGAATGGTGCGAGAACGAAGTGGTATCAGTTCGCATGGTTCAAGAGCATCTGACTCTGAGGAGCTTTGAAGCCAGAATGGTATTGGCTTCCAGTGCACCTTGCAAACCTCCAGTGTTGCCTAAAGGGGCCGCTGAGTAGGTTTTCCTAAGATATGATATGGTGAGTTTTTTTACACCATAGTAGTGTAGTGTCTTGTAACAAACATATTGTCATATGCCATTTTCTATTGCAATCAACTAAAGCATACTATAACGCACTGTAATATACTATGATATAGTGCTGTCCTTTGTGTTCGCCTGGGTGACCCGGCGACTGTTCTTGCCCGGCGACTGTTCTTGGTCTGTAGAGGTTCGCGGCTCTGATCAAAAGCTCAACCTGCGCCTTCGGAACACAAATGTCGCTCCGCATGCCTATCCACAGTATGGTATAGAATGGTATGGTATGGTATAGTACTCTACTGTACCAATGATGTGTATTCTTTCTTTCTAAAGGTATAATACGGTATAGTACGTAGTATGTAGGTTGTAGCCTAAAGCATATACAACATAGTATATCGTATATAGTAGTACATAGCATCGTTTTCTTAACCTTATTACACTGCACTATGCTATATACTATACTATACAATACTATACTATGCTATACTATGCTGTATGATACTATGAGAATCCTAGCCCTGAGCCGCAAATCTCGTCTGCTTTAGTGTCGATGACCTGGGGACGGTTCGGAGGAGTTCCCAACAGGGTTCCTTTACGGCTTCATTTAACGGGTTCCGTAAGGGCTACCACAAGGGTCTAGTGTATGGGGGAGCCTTAATGATTAGAATAGCGCCCAATATCATGCCGAATTCTGCGACTTCTGAGAATAGCATCTGCATCAACGGTATTGGTACCAGTAGCGCTTCTCATTATGATTCCCTGCAGGCCCTCTAAAGCCGCTAACCCCAAACGGACCCTTTAACACCCTTCCAAAGCACCTTCACCGCTTCAACCCTGAACCCCTAACACTCGTTATTATAGTACCCTTATAGATCCCCTATTGTAACCTTTATATACCCCTTTAAAGGAAACTAAGTGCCTTCTGAAACACCCTCAGTTTCACATTGCACCTTGACCAAGGTTGAGAGCATGGCTGAGCTGGAGAGGGAATCCGACTTAAGCCGGGACGCCTTGTGGTCACGGTTTAGGGTTTAGGGTCTAGGGCCAAGGGTTTAGGGCTTAGGGTGTGGTAACGTCATGGGTGCTCGCTGGTGTGTGCACACCCAGGCCGCTCGCACTTGTGCGTAGCAGACAGCCCACCCCAAGACCACCCTGAGTTCAAGCATTTTAGGGTTTAGCTCTAAAGTCTTCTAGGCATCCCAGCGGGGGCTTGGACATCACCGACGGAAGCCGTTACTCTCAGCGGGGCCCAGGCAGGATCGAAAGCAGCACAGCATGTGGGCCTCCTGTGAGGCTGCCCCCCTCTTTGGATTAAGCTTTCGGTGAGGCTGTGCGGTTGGATTGTTATGCAGACGTTCTGTAAGGCTGTCATGGCAGGTGCCGGAAGATGCAGTGGACTTTCTGTGAGGCTAAAATGACGGGAATTGTGCAGAAACAAGCAGCACTGCATGTGAGCTTTCTGTGAGTCTGTCCCTGTCTGGATTGGGCATTCTGTGTGTTGGCAGGTCTTCATGTGGGCTTTCTGTGAGTCTGTCCCTGTCTGGATTGGGCTTTCTGTGAGGCTGTGTTGGCGGGTTCTCATGTGGGCTTTCTGTGAGGCTGTCCTGGCAGGTGCCAGAAGGAGCAATGTGCTTTCTGTGAGGCTGTGCTGGCGAATGCCGGAAGAAGCAGTGGGCTTTCTGTGAAGGGGGAACTGTGCAGAAACAAGCAGCACTGCATGTCGGCTTTCTGTGAGTCTGTCCCTGTCTGGCGTGGGCTTTCTGTGAGGCTGTGTTGGCGGGTTCTCATGTGGGCTTTCTGTGAGGCTGTCCTGGCAGGTGCCAGAAGAAGCAATGTGCTTTCTGTGAGGCTGTGCTGGCGAATGCCGGAAGAAGCAATGGACTCTCAGTGCGGCAGGAATTGTGCAGAAACAAGCAGCACTGCATGTGAGCTTTCTGTGAGTCTGTCCCTGTCTGGATTGGGCTTTCTGTGTGTTGGTAGGTTTTCATGTGGGCTTTCTGTGAGTGTGTCCCTGTCTGGATCGGGCTTTCTGTGAGGCTGTGTTGGCGGGTTCTCATGTGGGCTTTCTGTGAGGCTGTCCTGGCAGGTGCCAGAAGAAACAATGGACTTTCTGTGCGGCAGGAATTGTGCAGAAACAAGCAGCACTGCATGTGAGCTTTCTGTGAGTCTGTCCCTGTCTGGATTGGGCATTCTGTGTGTTGGCAGGTTTTCATGTGGGCTTTCTGTGAGTCTGTCCCTGTCTGGCGTGGGCTTTCTGTGAGGCTGTGTTGGCGGGTTCTCATGTGGGCTTTCTGTGAGGCTGTCCTGGCAGGTGCCAGAAGAAACAATGTGCTTTCTGTGAGGCTGTGCTGGCGCATGCCGGAAAGAAGCAGTGACTTTCTGTGAAGGGGGAACTGTGCAGAAACAAGCAGCACTGCATGTCGGCTTTCTGTGAGGCTGTCCCTGTCTGGCGTGGGCTTTCTGTGAGGCTGTGTTGGCGGGTTCTCATGTGGGCTTTCTGTGGGGCTGTCCTGGCGGGTGCCGGATGCAGCAATGGGCTTTCTGTGAGGCTCCAATCCTTGTCTATTTCGGATTCGCACCAAATCCTGCAAGTCGTGAAGGGTTGGGGGGTTAAACCCTTGTCCATTTGGGAGCCGCTCCAAGTCGTGAAGGGTTGGGGGGTCAAACCCTTGTCCATTTACCGTTCATGAAGGGTTGGGGGGTCAAACCCTTGTCCATTTGCCGTTCATGAAGGGTTGGGGGGGTCAAACCCTTGTCCATTTGCCGTTCATGAAGGGTTGGGGGGGTCAAACCCTTGTCCACTTGCCGTTCATGAAGGGTTGGGGGGTCAAACCCTTGTCCACTTGCCGTTCATGAAGGGTTGGGGGGGTCAAACCCTTGTCCACTTGCCGTTCATGAAGGTTGGGGGGTCAAACCCTTGTCCATTTGGAGGCCGTTCATGAAGGGTTGGGGGGTCAAACCCTTGTCCACTTGCCGTTCATGAAGGGTTGGGGGGTCAAACCCTTGTCCATTTGGGTCAAACCCTTGTCCATGTGGGAACTGGCCAAAAAGGAGGAACCCAGAGATCGGCCGACAGCCTAATGTAAATGGCACATTTTATAAGCAGAATTTGGTAACAGAAAATCAGCTGTCAGCTTCCTGGAAAGGAACACCCGCCAAGTCGTGAAGGGTTGGGGGGTCCAACCCTTGTCCATTTGGGAGTCGCTCCAAGTCGTGAAGGGTTGGGGGGTCAAACCCTTGTCCATTTGGGAGCCGTTCATGAAGGGTTGGGGGGTCAAACCCTTGTCCATTTGCCGTTCGTGAAGGGTTGGGGGGTCAAACCCTTGTGCATTTGGGGGCCGTTCATGAAGGGTTGGGGGGTCAAACCCTTGTCCATTTGGGAGCCGTTCCAAGTCGTGAAGGGTTGGGGGGTCAAACCCTTGTCCATTTGCCGTTTGTGAAGGGTTGGGGGGGTCAAACCTTTGTCCATTTGGGAGCCGCTCCAAGTCGTGAAGGGTTGGGGGGTCAAACCCTTGTCGAAAGGAAGGACGTGCCGGCAAAAAACCCCCGGGTTTAGGGTCTATACCTTTACCACTACCGTGGGAGGTGCCCGAGGGGCCGGCATGCATGGTGCCAGTCGCCTAGCTTTACCTAGGCTCCGCGTACGCGTTTTCTGCCGCTCGCGAAGCTCGGGCCGCTTCGGGCTCCGCGGTGGCGGTTGTCGAGCCCTCAGCGAAGACTCTAGGGTTTAGGGTTTAGGGTTCAGGGTTTTGGGTTTAGGGTTTAGGGCTTAGGGCTTAGGGTTTTGGGTTGAGGGTTTAGGGTTTTGTGGCTTCGCACCGTCGTTGCTTAAAGGTTTGCTTTGGGGTTTTTGCGTCGAGGGCTGTACCGTCTGAGTCTGTGCTTAAAGGGTTTGGGACTTTGCGTTTCGGGCTTAGCGGCTCAGCGGTATTTGTATGTTTTTTAGTACGGTTTCGTAGATATTCAGAAAGCTTAATTGCCCCCTGAGTTCGGCAATGTTTCAATTCTTCCTTGAAGTTTCAGCCCGATCACCTTCGACCCTAAACCCTAAACCCTGTCACCCAGCGAGTTCTAAGTCCTACCCCAAGCGGAAAAGGCCGCCGGGCTTGGATTTCAAACCCCCCAAAGCTTTATATAGTACTTAGATGACCAGGGGACTTAGTGAGTAGGTTATACATAGTGGGACAAGTGCCCCACATGGAGCTACGCTAATTATGACCGACTGAGTAAGTCGGTTTACAGTAGCGACCCAAAAGTTGGAAACCCAACAGCCGCAATCCCTATAAGAGTAATGTGTAGGGAATCCCAGCACTACTTGTCCTTGATCCGGGTTCCAACTTTTTCGGGCCTACTATAGGGCCAACCCGCCAACCCCTCGACTCTAAGAAGGCAAGTAGAATTGCAAAAATATTTTGAAGTCTGCTACGCAACTTGTGAGCACCATGCCAGTCTCATTGCGAGTGCGCCTCCTTGCGATGCTCGACCACAAAGCCGCGCAGTTGTTGTAAACCACCGTTTTGACATCAATCATTCTCCCGCAAGTTTTGTCAGAAGATCCTAAACCTTAGCACTTTTTTGAGCAAAGTGCCGAAGAAGGTGCAGGGGTTTAAACCCTAAGCCTCAAACCTCAAGCCCTAAACCATGATCCCTAAACCCGAAACCTTAGTTAGAAGCTGCCCCCACCCTGTAATCGTGGCATAAAGAATATAATAGGGCCCTAATATAATTATAATCCTATATAATCCTTATAGTCACTATTACAGGGTGGGGGCAGCTTCTAACCGAAACCCCCAAACTCCCTGGGTTCTGCAAGTTCGGGGCAGCCCACCAAATCTCTAAGAAGTCATCGTGTTCCGGACTCAGGATTCGAGTTCAGGGTTTAATGTAGGGGCTTAAACTTACTTATACTA